GAGGGCGTTTCTGCCGGGAGCATGGGCCGACCTCAAGCGAGTTCTGACCTGATGCTGGAGACCCAAGGCTGGGACTCGCTTTATTGCTTGACAAGAGCTTGAGCTTCTTTCCGTTTCCCATGGAAAGGAGAGGTTTCTTGGCCTGTTGCTTTACGCGGTCCGGTTCTCTCCTTCCTTTTCCATCTTAATTCACCTGGGATATTTATCAGGTTTTCACCTTGGCCGGTTCAGCATTTTACCTTCTTTCTAGCTCTGTAGGACCGACTCGGCACTGACCTTTTGGGCCGATCGCTGCCTGCCACGGCTGGAGGGTGGCAGGGCGCATGTCTCAGCGCCACGCGGGCGACTTGGGGCCGGCTTGCTGCGCACTGGGGAGTTAACCTGGTCTTCTTCCTCCCCCCAGATGTTAGTAGGCAGGACGAGGCGGAGGGCGAGCTGAGCGAAGGAGAGCCCTGGTATGAGAACTCTTCCGAGACTCCCTCCGAGGCGTCCTATGGAGAAGTCCAGGAGAACTACAAGCTGTCTCTGGAGGACCGGATCCAGGAGCAGTCCACCTCCCCCGACACCTCCTTGGGGAGCACCACCCCCAGCAGCCACACGTTGGAGCTGGCGGCCCTGGACGGCGAGGTCCTGCGAGACTCCCTGCCGGCTCAGGACCACCTCTCCCCGGGTGTGTCTTCTCTGTGCGACGAGGACGTGCCCGGCTCCACCAAGCCCCTGAGCAGCAACCTGAGGCGGCTGCTGGAGGCGGGCTCCCTCAAACTCGAGGCCACGGCCACTGCCAACGGCAGGGTGGAGTCGCCGGTCCACGGCAGCTCGAACCTCTCCTTTTCCCCACCCTCCCACCATGCCCAGCAGCTCAGCGTCCTGGCCAGGAAGTTGGCCGAGAAGCAGGAACAGAATGACCAATACACTCCAAGTAACCGTTTTCTCTGGAATCAAGGTAAGTGGTTGCCAAACTCAACCACCACCTGCGGCCTGTCCCCGGACTCCGCCATCCTCAAACTGAAAGCTGCCGCCAATGCTGTCCTGCAGGACAAGTCTCTCACCAGGACTGAGGACACCATGCGATTCGAGTCCTTTTCCTCCCCTTTTAGCTCCCAGTCTGCCAGTTCCACCCTGGCAGCTTTGTCCAAGAAGGTCAGTGAGCGGAGCCTGACGCCTGGCCAGGAGCACCCGCCCCCGGCCAGCTCTTTCCTCTCCCTGGCCTCCATGACCTCCTCTGCCGCGCTCCTGAAGGAGGTGGCCGCCAGGGCTGCGGGCAGTCTGCTGGCGGAGAAGTCGTCGCTGGTGCCCGAGGACCCGTTGCCGCCACCGCCTGCGGAGAAGAAGCCGGACAAGGTCACCCCGCCGCCGCCTCCGCCGCCGCCGCCTCCCCCGCCGCCGCCGCCGCCACAGTCCCTGGAGCTACTGCTGCTCCCGGTCCCCAAGGGAAGAGTGGCCAAGCCCGCCCACGCAGGTACGTCTGAGTCGCCGTCACTGGCCCTGGCCACGCCGCAGGCCTCGCCTGGGCCGGTTGGGGTCCCCATCTTGCTCCGGGGCCGGGATTTAGGACAGCGCAGCACCCCTTGGAGTGAGGGGAGCGGGCTCCCGCGCACGCGACAAGGCTCGCCCGCGCGGCGTTTCCAGGCGGGCAGCCTCTGGGGACATTTCCCTTTCGTGGAAATGATTTTTTTTTTTTTTAATTTTTCTTACCAAGTTCAGGCGAGGTCTGTGCAAGCTATATTTAATGGGGGAAGATGAAAGCATCTTTGTCGGGGAGTGCACGGCCCCCCTGAACAGAGGGGACAAAACCCCAGGGCTGTTGAAGCAGCGGACAAGAGGGAGCCCACCCTCCCGCTGTCCATCACAAATGGACTTTTGTATGATCAGGAACTACTCTGCCCTAATTTATCACAGCGCACGCTTTCAGGGAGCATTTTTATTCTCTTTTTGTGGGATTTCGGCCTTTTCCATTTATCCTGTGCTGCTGTAATCTCCGGCCATACAAGAACTCTAAAGAACATTGTCAGTCAGCCGTCATCAAAGCGTTTCCTGGAAAGGCTTAATTTTATTCCAGGCCAATCCTGGAGGCGTGCGTGCGGAACGTTTGAGCCCCGCGCGTTTCTTGGGGGTGGGGGGCTGCCTCTGAGGCGGCGTCGCCGTCCTGGGGAGTCTGGACACTCGTCCTGGGGAGTCTGGACACTCGCGCCTGTTCATCTGAGGAGCAGGGCGACCCCGTGAGCCCCGCAGGAGCGCGCGCGGGCGCTTTAGTTGGCGTCTGGTAAATCACGGTCTCGGGCGGGGTGGGGGTGTGGATAGGCGCCAGGAGGTCGGGAGCGGGAAGAGGCAGCGTGGGGGCCTCAGTGTGGACCCTGCCTCGGCGGGTGCGCCGCCAGCTTTCGGGTCTTTGCAGCTCTCGGGTCTTCGCACCCCGACGAGCGTGCTCAGCGTGGCCAGCCGTCGGCTGCACGGTCACAGCTAACCTCGGTCTGAGGGGCTGGTGACAGATTTCCACTTTCATTGCTGAGCGAGCCATAGGCGATCGTTGTAATGACTTTAATGCTTGCGTAAACTGCAAACAGAACTGGGGACGGGGAGATCTGAAACTTCATGACTCTGGGCATCCAGACTTCTCACTGCGGAGTTTCTGAAGTGTCACTGAAATCCCGCCCGTTTGCCGGTTGGAGTTTCCCTTCTCCCATGTCACCTGCCATCTGGTGAATTGGAGAAATGACGAAAAGTAGGAAGCAAGAGGTAGTGTAGAGGGAATGTGACCTGGGGATTTTGCAGTGAGGTATTGGCTCCTGATGGAGAGAACTTTCATCCAGGGAGGTCCGGCTTGCTATAGAAGGTGATTTCATACTGTTCTCTATCTGGTCGTTGAATAAATTTAGTAGTGGTGTTGATGCTATAAATTCACCTGGACACTGGTTAGAAAAGCTTACACAAAATTAATCATAAACTTGAGTTGACTCAAGACTGGGAAAGAACTTACTGATAAAACTTCTGCTGGAAAGGGCCGGCGCCGGGGGGTGGTGATAATAATAACGAACATCTATATACCAGAGACATTTTATAGGGGTGGAGTGGGGAACGGGATCAAAAAGGGGGAGGGGGTTGTGGAGAGTGCACTGGACTGTGGTGATGGCACACGGGCGATTTGGTGATGGGAAGCCCACGGGGATTACAGCTGAGATGGGAAAGGCACAAAATGATGTAAAAATAAACTTTTATATTTAAAAAAAACCTTCCTGCTGAGGGTGAGCAGTGGTAACGTTGCTCAGTGTGTCGCGTCACAGTAGTTCTGCCGTGTCCTCTGTTCTCCATTGCTGCGTCCGTGGCAAGAAGGCGGTCCTGAGCCTCCAGCTTCGGGGAGACTTTCTGCCTGTTTTGTCATACGAATACACCCCAGGAAGAACATGTGCTCCTTCTTGGGCTGCAATGCACTTCATTCATGCCAACAATCTCAGTGAGCGCCGCGGCAGAATTTAACAGAGGAGCTTTAAGAAATCTTTTTTTTTCTTATCTTTTTACTGAATTTCTTCTGTTATTGAATCACTTAGTATTTTTTTTTTTTTAAGATTTATTTGTTTATGCATGTAAGAGCTGGGGTACAGGCCAGCGGTGAGGGGGTGAGAGGATTCACCAGAGATGGAACAGGGGAGTAGAACAGATGGATCCACTGAAACACTGCTGAGGGGAGCAGCAGGGAGATAGGAGAGGTCTGCTGTGCCCTGCAGGTCACCTCCCTGGTCAGGGATCAAACTGGCGCTGGAGGGGCTGCAGATAGCTTCATAGTGCTGCATTTTAACCCATTGTGCCACCAGAGAGGGCCCATCACTTAGTATTTTAACCGATGAGTGTTTATATTGGAAGAGAAGGGGAAGGAGCTTCGGCGTGTGGGCTCCATGGCCCCAAGATGGGCTGGCTGTAGGTCCCAGGGTTCCCCTTGTCTCTGTTCAGGTCCCAGAGCTGGTGAGCAGCTGCACTACTGGGTCATCGTATCCAAAAACTATTCATTTTGGAAAACTCACACAAGAGGAGAAGTCACAGCAAAGAAGAGCACTGAGGCTCCCAGGTAGACACAGCCCCAGTGTGGTTCTGATTCTTGTAGCCTGATGGGAAGTGGGCGGGCCCAGTGTTCCTTGGATTTGCCTGTTTAAGGCAGATACCTCAGTTATTACTTGCTTTACGAGGCCGTGACTTGGTTGGTTCATGGATTTTTGGATCAGAGAGTGGATGGGAAGGTGGGTCTTCACCATTAGCTTTTCCCTCCTGCCCTCCTCCACACCCACACCCTAAACTACTGGGGCCTGGATGTTGCAGTCACTTGGCTTTACTTGACACCAAAAAAGCATGATGGCAGTGTGCTGAGAACCCTCAACACGATTGTCAACATTTCTAAACACTTCTCGTTATTGTTTTCCTTTACTTTAAAAAGTAATCTGAGGCCCTCCCTGGTGGCTCAGCAGGTTAAGCGCAGCACTATGAAGCTGGCTGCAGCCACTTCACTGGGAGTTCGATCCCCGGCCAAGGAGCTGACCCCCATGGCATTACAGACCTCTCTTGGCCCGACTGCTGCTCCTCTCAACAGTGTACTAAGTCGCTCTGCCTGTTCTGCTCCTGCTCTATCTGTTCTGCTCCTGCTCCGTCTCTGGTGAATCCTCTCACTGTACCTGCACCTCTGACCTGTACCCCAGTTCTATATGGATAAATAAACAAATCTTTAAAAAAAAATAATCTAAGTTTAATTCAAAATAGATGTGTAGGGGGCTCGTCTCTGTTGCTTAATGACTTAAGAGAGCAGATATTTCCCCTCCCCCCCACGCCACCCCCCACCACCGCAAAAAAAAAAAAAAAACAAGAACAAGCTGCATACTCTCCTGGTTTCAAACTGGGCTTACATTTAAAAGCTGTGTCTCAAAAAGCAAAAGGGCATATAAAGTTGATTCTGGAGTCACAGAGAGATAGGTGCTGGAAAAGGCAATCCTCTATAGAGTAATTTAGACTCCAGCATTTCTTTGACCTTCTTTAGGTCAAGAGACGTCCAAGCCGTGGGGGGAGAAGTCTCTCTTAGGTCTGGCCTTATTCCTCTTCTTTGAACAGGTTGCCCTCGTTGCCAGGACAAGGGGCATTTAATTCCGTAAAGAGTCCGCCCCTGGATTGCCTTTTCCCCATGAGAGCGACGTGACACTTGAGGAGAGGTTCCTTCCCTGTGACCCTGTGACCCAGCACATGCTACACGGCTTCTCTGAAAGAAGACACGCTAGAGAGAAGATTATGTCCGTTTGCTATAAAGATAAATGTCACACATTCACTCAATTCTCTTTGAAGCTACTGTCTGTTGCAGCTCCGAATAAAATAAATGGTTTTTATTTTAAAGACAAGTTTCTCGTAGAAGGCCAACAAGATTTCCTGGATGCCAGGCTCGTTAGAAAAAAAATAACAAAAAGAGTTTCAGAGAGAGGGCGCCCACATTTATTTTCCTGAACACAATATAAATATGCTTCAAAGCAAATAGGCTTCATGCAACTGAAGACTAAGAGTATTTTCTGGACCGACAGGTATTGTTTTGCTGGCTGCTGTTTTCTTTCCTATTTATGTGATGTTATTATTATTAACCACATTGCAAAAGCGTAGAAAGTCCAGAAAGTGAGGTAACCTCTTCTGCTTCTCCCATTAGGTCCATGATTATGAATAGCTGTGTCTGGAAATGATCAGTTATAGGAACCTGTTTAGAAAATTCACTTTTAAGTTAAGATGCAGAACAATCTGTTACTCATCTCAATTATATTCCCCCAGGGATTTAAAGTTAAGGGTAGCTCTCCATCCGACTCTTCCATAGTTTCAAGGACTACTCACCTGCTATACATTTATACGTGGTCAGTGCCGTAACTGTAGACCAGCCCAGTGATGGCCTCCTAACACTTCCGGTTGTTGCTCTGAAGTAGCATTTGAGAGACTAGCCCAAGAAATTTCTCATTAAAAGCTATGAAATCGGGGCCCTCCCTGGTGGCGCAGCGGGTTAAAGCACTGCACTGAGAATCTAAAGCCACTTCCGCATGAGTTCGATTCCCGCCTGCCCCGGAGGTGACCACATGGCGCGGCAGACCTCTCCTGACCCGCCCGCTGCTCCCCTCAGCAGTGGACTTCATCGATCTGCCTGTTCTGCTCCCCACTCTGTCTCTGGTGAAGCCTCTCACCTCCCCTGAGCCTCTGGCCTGTACCCCAGTTCTGTATGCACAAATAAATAAATCTAAAAAAAAAAAGCTATGAAATCCAGGGACGGTGTTAGGAAGGAGGCTGGAAGCCGCACACGGTGGCGCGTCTCCCTTGACAGGCCTGGAGGGGAGATGGTGAGGCTGTGGGCTGCACACCCAGAGCGCCGGCATCCGGAGGCCCTTTGTATTCATGGTAACTAACGTCTGTTTGCAGAAACTACCCACTTGCAAATTATCTTGATTTTTTGCACATGGGATCTAACAAAACAACCTTTGATTTCAAAGTCTAGGAAAACAGCTACATTTGTTTTAAAAATACCCTGCCTCGAGTTGAAGCAACTCAGTTAATAAGACCCTTTATGATTTTTTTTTTTTAAGCCTAGGGAAGTCCTGTGGATTTCCCCGAAGATGGTACACAGCATTGAAGAGATTGGTGCTTACCCCCCCGATTGTTGAGGGGCTTCACCCCACTTGAGCTTCCTCTGAGACTCTTCATGCTTTTACTTTCTGCTTTTCTTTAGCTTCATCTATCAGTTCAAGACAAGCATTATTTTTTCTAGCTTTGAACTTAGTATGTTGCTGCTTGTAAATCACTATCAAACCTCCCACAAAATCATCTCTTGCCCTTTGTAAATAGTTAAGCTGTACCTTTGTGCCATAGACATGTTTAAAATAATCTGCTCCAAAGCCATGGTGGGGCTCGGTGAGGTCATGGGCGTGTAGGGCTCTGTTCGCACATGGTCCCTCCACATGCCCACGACAGCGCGGTGGCAGCCCACTCCCGGCTCACAGGGCTCCCCGGAGTCTCCCTCTCCATTCTTCCACTTCCATGTCTTTGTGATTGTCTTGACTCAACCCTCCCCACAGCCCAATGCACAGGGATTGCACTGTACCTTGTACCCACGTTGTGTGTGTGCTGGGGTCACCAGGGTGAGGCTGCCCAGCCATGCTCCTCCACCACCTTCTCCCCTGCTTCTTCTCATTGCTCCCTCCCTGCCCAGCTGAACTTGGCCATCAAAGTCTGCGTAGGCTGAGGCCAGCCCTATATGGGCAGTGCAATGGACTCCCGGGCCTTTGTCTCCTCCTGCCTCTGGTGATGAGCCAGGATGTTGGACCTGTGTGTTCATTATGTGACGCTTGGTTGCATTTACAGATGCACACGATGAGTTGTCTGCTTTGGGGTGGGGGGGGAGTTGGGGAGGGGGCAAGAGTTTATGATCACTACGATTACTGCAACAGCTCCTACTGGTAGTTTCTGCTGCCTGCGAGCCAGGAGTTGACACACATTTATTATCTCTTTTATTCCAGTAGTAGTTTTCTTAGAAGGGGAACATATTTTCTCCAGAGGAGCAACTGTCCTTCCTACTGGATCTGACAGCATTTGGTGGGACTTGGTTATGTGTGCGGTGATACTAACTAGCTGGTGATAGAGTTGGGAGTTATGACTGTCGTAAACTAGGCAAAATTATGAAAAGCTCAATAATGCTCCTCAAGGCTGTGTGGTTCGTCCCGAGGAGGTGGTCCTGTTTCCGTAGGTTCCGAATTTGAGTGAAGAGTTCCGTTGGAAGCTTCTTGAAAGCAGTTGGGCACACGAGATAGATAATCCTTGCTTCTTCCCAGCTCTAAAGTACTTAATGTCATCGAGGAAAGGAAGGCATTCTTGCCTCACTAAACACAAATTTATTTTCTGAATAAATAAAAATGTAAATGCTACCAGGGAGATTACTGGCCAACTTGGAAATTCGGCCATTATGTTCTGCTTACTTTTGCTTATTTATGTTTTTAAAATTAAGGCACTCTGGTGAAAAGCCCTGCATGTGTTGGTTTCCACACCACTCTCACCACCAAGGCACCCATAGTCCACCATGATTCTGCCTGCTTTTATCTTGGCTCTGTCTATCTTCCCTGCCATGATGAACCTTCCCTGCCAGTTGAACCTTTCTAGCAGTTCAGCAGTGTGGCTGTTTGACCACATAGCTCACGGTTAGCTTCTCTTTGTTAGGCGCATTCTCATTCACACCCCCCCCCCCCGCCCCCATCAGTCCAAGTCCACATCCTTGTAAGCTTTGCTATTAACGAAGAGGAAAGAAGCAAATCTTCCAAAATGAAATGGAGGTAGATGAATCCCAGGATGCGCAAGGTTTACGACAGTGCAGGCTGTCAGTGCAACAGCCAGCGAGTTGGGTGTGGATGGGCCCAGAGGACAGGAAGCGCGCTGGGGGAAGCCAGAGCCCCTCTGTTGTCAGCTAATGTCTCTTTGTTGCTTTCCTGGGGTGGCAGGTCAGTGGAAGACGTGTCCTTCCTTCCTCTCCTCTCCCAGGCGACTCTGCATCCCTGGCAGGGTAGGGGCAGGGAGAGGGAAGTGCTTCCGAAAGAAAGCCTGGGTGACTGGCTGCCTGTTTGTCTCTTTTTCAGTTCCTTGATGTTCTAGTTTGTAACCCAAACTAGGCATCGTTATCTTTTTTTTGGCATTCTAGCTTATGACAATGGTCTCACCTAGAGGTCTGATTTAGTCCTTTGTCTCCAGTCCGTTGTTCACCATGTCGTCCTGGTGATCCAAATATCAGAGTGGCGATGAAGGATAGAGAAGAGGAGGCCATTTGAGGGGAGGACTCCAGGTTAGCAGAGCGACCAACACAGACCACAGAGCAGTTACCGTGTATTAATACAAAGCCCTCCACCTCTGTAGAGGGGACTTTCTCTAGAGAAAAAGGAAACCCCCATTTCCTACCCTATCCCTCAGTCAAAAAAGGAAATACTTTTGATGGAACACATCCCAAATAGAAGTAGAAGTTCCAGACTTGAAGGCTGTGTTTTTGGAGGGAAGCTTCTTTTTCAAGGTGCTTGGTTGAACTAACCGCGGTTGGTATTCGTCAGGCCGCCTTTTTGGAATGTCCTAATTTTATTCCAGGACCCCCCAGGTCCCCATCCACTTAAAGCGGTTCATTGCCTGTAGAGACTCAATCGACTCCATGAATTAATAATGAGATGATTTTAAAGTTGACCCTGGAGAATAAGTCCTTTTAAAATTATAAAAGTAATGTATGTGTTAAAAATTCAAATAATCCAGAAGACTATAAAATGAAAACCAGAAGTTTCCCTCCTTGACCTCTTGTCATTTTAATAATCCATCATCCTTGAAGGTTAATTGATTAAAGGTTTCTTGCGTATGCTTCCAGAAAATGTTGATGTAAGTAAAAGGATTTCTTTTTGTTTGTTTCACTTATTCCTTTCACCCCCTCATCTTTGTGTGTGTGTGTGTGTCATGTGTTCTAAAGCAAATTGCAGGTATCATGTCCTTTTCTGTAAATATTTCCATAAATATCTCTAACAGATCAAATAATAGCCACAGCGCCACCGTCACATCGGACGGGACCAAGGGGAAGTAAGTCACAGAGCGCTCACACTCTGCTCTGTATTTCTGGGATTATCTCCACAGTCTCTTTTCATAATTGCTCCGTTCAAATGAGGGTCAAAATTAGCTCCACACCTTGCATTTGTTATATATGTCCAGACTTGTCTTTTCATCCATAGCCTTTTCCCTTTTTAAAAAGCCATTTACTTGTTCAAGAAACTGGGTCATTTGTGCTGTAGAATTTCCTACCTTCTGGATTTGACTGACCCCGTTACTGGCGTGTTTAATAAATGTTTTAATCGCCTGCATTTCCAGTAAACTGTTGATTTATAGAGAGGCGTGATTGTTCATCAGAATATTTCTTACATAGTTTATCAGAATGACACCACAGCAGATGGTCCCCTTTTTTCATGATATTAAGATTGAATAATGGTTTTTGGTATCATCAGCTTGCTCCATCCTTTATGAAGTTCTTTATCCATCTTTCCCCTAAAGGGTTAGCAGCAAATACTCCCATTTTTCAGAACATTACAGTAGAGTCGTCCCTATAGTCTACTTTCTCTCCCATCTTGGACATGTTTCTGTAGCAGCGTCTATAAAGACCCAGCTCATTTTTTAAAATGCTTTCATGTATTTTTATGATGTGTATGTCTTTTTTTTTTTTTAAGATTTCTTTGTTTTTTCATACAGAACTGGGGTACAAACCAGAGGTGCAGGGGTGGTGAGAGGCCTTACCAGAGACAGAGTGGGGAGCAGAACAGGCAGGTCGACAAAGTACCCTGCTGAGGAGAGCAGCAGGCGGGTCAGGAGAGGTCTGCTGCTCCATGTGGTCACCTCCAGGGCCAGAGAATCGAACTCAACACTGAAGTGACTGCAGCCAGCTTGCAGTGCTGTGTCCTAACCCGTTGTGCCACCAGGGAGGGCCCAACATGTATGTCTCACAACTTATTTAGCCCATTTGAAAAGATTGAGAAGGGAACAACTAACTGAGTCCTCAACTCTATGCACTTTCTGTGCCCCTGAATTGCAGGGGTGTCACTGAGCATTAATCGCCAGACTGAGTGCAGGGAGGATGGCAGGTCAGGGCTGAGCCCCTGTCCTGGGGGTGGGGGCGGGAACAGTGTCCCTTGGAGGATGTCGTGGGGGCTTTCTGCTTTCCTGAAAACTTGAAGCATTTGTAGCTGCCTGGTTGCAGCTCTTCCCAGAGAGGTTGGGTAGGAGGGGGTGGGATGGGGCACCAGGAGGGTGCGGGGCCAGGAGGAGATGTCTTTGAGAAGCAGTCGGTGGACAGAAAAAAGAGGGTGAGAACCCCTGACCTTGATCCCCCCCGTGGCTTCAGCTGAAGGCGGAACAGCCACGGGCCTAACGCGCGTCTCCGTGGGAGCTCGCTCCGCGTGGCTGTGGGTCTTCACCTGGTGTGGCACCTTCGTCTCCGTCTCAGGTGACTTTCCTTACTTCTTGCTGCTTTTCAAGTTTGGGAATTCAGCTATGGAGTGGTGCCTGGAAGACTACACCAGGCTGCATGGCCCCACTTAGGAAAACAAATGCAGGAAGCAAGAACAAGGTGAACACGGATTTCTACCTGAGGAAAAGCAGTAATGAGACCTGGTCCCGCATCAAGTCTTGTCAGTGTCAGGACTAAAAAACAACTCCCGGTCGTGTTTGGAAGTCCTTTCTAGAACGTGCGTGTCGTGAGCGCTGGATGCCTGCTCTTTCTCGTTGTCCTTACTGTCCCTTTCTCTCTTCTCCTTCCAAGCCTCAGAAGAAGAAAGTGGAAAGCCTTTCCAGTGTCCGATATGTGGTTTGGTTATAAAAAGGAAGAGTTACTGGAAGCGGCACATGGTGATTCACACAGGTTTAAAGAGTCATCAGTGTCCGCTCTGTCCATTCCGGTGTGCCCGCAAGGACAATCTCAAATCCCACATGAAGGTAAGCCCGGCCGCGGGTGGCGTGAGGGGCAGACTCCGCCCGACCTTGCACCTGCTCTCGCGAGGGAGGCAGGAGAGCGGCACTGGCAGGGCTGATGAAGAGGGCACCCGAGGCCGAGGTGGGCAGCGTCCGGGGCACACCTGGGGAACGGGTCTCACGTAGAGGCCTCGGTGCCCCTGGTATCACCAAGGACTCAGAGGCAGGAGAAGCTCAGCATCTGAGTAACGTCTGTTGCGTCTGTTGCCCAGAGCCATCCTTTCCTACTGGGGTGCAGCAGCCTCACCTGACCTGGCATGATGATCATTTCTGGGGGTCTTGGAGGGAGACTTGGGGAAGGACAAGAGACCAAGAAACCAAGATAAGTCCAGGAAGGAGGCGCTTCTTCTCTGGAGAGATTGGCGCTGCCTTGCTCTGGCTCAGCAATCCCGGGGGTCACACAGAGACACCTGTAGGGGTTGTGAGGGCATTGTCAGATGCCTGGGTTTCACCTGACCCCTCTGGCAGGCTTGGGCCACTCCTGAAAGGCCTCCCCCCCACCCGGCCACTGGTGTCTGAGCAGGCCTAAGTCCCAGCATCACGCTTCTAAGGATATTGTTTTCTATGTTCTAATAAAATCAGGGTTGGGGTATGGCTGCCCGCAATAAGCAAATGGATTCAACTTAGTGTCAGTGTTGTGTGAGATGGCAGGGAACTGGAAACCCTCTAGCAAGCCTGCCAATGCTAAGGGTTTCATCTAAATCAAAGAGAGAACTGAGGCTTTCGAATAGGATGGACCTGAATTTAAATCTCATTGTGCAACTTAGCAGCTAAGTGGTTTGAACAGGTGAAGCTTTAGACTCTCAATCTGCTCACCTGTTAAGTGGGGCCGTAATATTTGTCTGGAAGAGCTATCATCAGTGTTTATCAGCAAAATACCTCACTGAGGAATGCAGTGGTAGTTATTAATTTCACTAACTATTATTGAACATCTAATGACAACAGTCATGATATTGATGTTTTCAATCTGTTTTGGCTGTTGACACTGTTTATAAAATGTCTACTTTCCTGCCATAAGAAGTATAGTCTGTGTACATCATTCAAATACTGGCTTTTTTCTAAATTTGGTAAGCTAGTTCTTCTGGAAAGTTCAGTATTGCTGTTGAGAATTGTAGCTCTAAAAAACAAGTGTGATCAAATAGCACTTCTCACTAACTTTAGGAAATAGCTTAGAAGATTTAAAAAAAAAAATTAAATCCATGATGTAATTTGTTTTCTGTCATTTGCCTTTTCTTCTGGGAGTAACATGCCCTTCATCTTCAGAATCCATTTAACCAGGAGTTCCAGTTGGCTGGATTTTACCGAGCTCAGTTTTTACTTTAACCCTCCTCATCCTCCGTCACCTCTTTCCTAAGTAAAATCTCATATTTTACCCCCGCGAAGAGGATTTCATTAGCAGGATGAGACTTCAAAAGGAAGACCTTTAAAACTAAAATGTGTTTTAGTGACTCTGTCCTATGCTGTGCTTAGAAATCAGGTCTGGCAAATTTAAAGCTTCAGTGAGCAGAAAACTTGCATCAAGCCTGACACCTTGTAAGCTTGGTTTCAGCTCAGGGTCACTTAAAACAACCTATTTATAAACCCACGGGGGGGAAAAAAAAAACACACTGGGCTTTCAATAGCAGGAACCACTGACCCTGAAACTACAAGGAGATGAGTTGGTGTCTTGATGCTCCCGACGGTCGGCCGTGAGCGTGACAGATGAGAGCGGAGGCCCCCGTGGGTCGTGGGGTCTTACAGTGCTTTCAGAACAAATCAATAACCAGTACAATGAAGCAGTTGTGCGAAATGACTACTTTATCCAAACTCCTAGTGTCCCAACTTGTTGAGCTAAGAGGAAGTCTGAGAAGGTCCCCTGCGAGTTTAAGCAGTCAGGTGGTGCTCTTTGCCCTCCGCCTCACTTAGGGGGCCCTTTTCCCCTTTCTTTTTTTTTTTTTTTTTGAAGGATTCATGATTTTATTTAGATTAGCCATTCTTTAATTTTTCTAAATTTTGCAGATGGAGTCTACATAGATTGGCAGGGCCTTGTCTAATCATTAGGTAGTTATCTTCGGTTGCTGTCACCACAGACTACAAATATGGTCAGATTTTCTCCAGCAAGTTCAGCCAACCAAGTGGGACCAGTTGAGCCTACAGATTTGCCCACTGTGTGACCAGAAAGACCTTAGGGACAGCCTCAGTCCTGAGCCTTTTTAAGAACTATAAGGCTTGAGCGAATCATGTTCCCTCCCCAGGCCTCTGGGCTCATGGAGAAATACTCCTCCGACCTGTCCCCATGAGTTGTAAGTGTTCACTGAGACTTTGTGCGTGAAGCACTTAACAGGTGCTCGTGAAGAAGCGCGTGGAAACATGGCTCACGTAGCAATTATCATTCAGAAGCCATTGCCCTGAGACTAGCGTTTACATTTTGAGAGATTGTTATGGTCTGAAAAAATTAGCCTGAATTTATTGCTTGTCTCTTTCTGTGATACCTCTTTAGTGTTGAGGATTTAGATGAGCACAAAGATATATAAGATTGACCCTTCATCCCTTCCTGCTGAAACAACTCTTACCATTCTAATGAAGACCCTTCTCTGGTGACTGTTTCGATTTTTTTTAAAAACTGGAGCTCCCCTTCCTTTGTTGGACAAACTCGCACCGAGGGTGCCCCCCTGGGGGGCCACCATGTGCTGTCAAGCCTGCCTCTTGGTGGCATCTTATCATGTAGACATCTTTACGGCCGGTTGTGGATGGAGCTTAACATCTGCAGTGTTCCCGGGGTTGCTTTAGGTTTCCAGTCACAATTTTACAACTTTCGTGGGTGAGCAGCCTATGGGAATTAAATGTGAAATTTATAAGCTAAAGTGGCACAGAGGGTGGCTGAGATAAAGGACATCGTGACGGAAGGTAAGAACTGGCCCGAGACAGGGGTTCCTGAAGTTTCCTCATATGCCTGGGCTCCTGCGCGAGAGGGGCCTAAGAGTGAAACATGCGTCTGTCCCCCAGGGTTTAGGGTGGGTGACACATAACCTTGGCCCAAAGGGCCAGTCGGTGAGTTTGTCTCCCCTTGGCCTGCAGTGAGTGACCAGCAGGCTAAAGGGAACAAAAATTGTAACAGAAAGTGCTTCTCATTCAGGAGAGACTGAATGACCTGAGCCCCATCGGGAGGCCATCCACTGTTTTCCTTTAAACAGTCACAAATATTCCCACCACCGAATACATCAAGGGCAGGATTCCGTGGAAGAGAAGCCACGGAAGAGACACTCTTTAATCCGGGGCCCCCTTCCGGTTTTAGGACTTGGGCTCGACTGCTGTCATTTTCCTTCTCCCAGAAGCTGCCTCCAGGGCTTCTGTGCTGGGATTAGCTCGCTCCTCTCCAGGGCCCATAGATGTCAGGACGTTTCTGAAACGGAATCTGCCTGCTGCACCACCCCCAGGGTGCCAGAAGCCTTCCGCCCGTGACCTTTACCGCCTGGTTCCGGGCAAGCTTTTGTTGGCACCTGGCAGGGTCCCCTAGGACAGTGACCTTAGGCTCCAAGGTGCCTGCCTCTGCTGAACTGGGTGGAGGAGAAGTGGAGAGTCCTGAGAGCTCTGGGAGAAACAGACGACAGGGTCAGCTCCAGCGTGACGTCCCTGCTGTGCAGGAACAGGGAGGGGTGATGTGAAGAGTCAGGGACAAGCCTAGCGTCCTCCCCAGCCCTCTGGACCTGGCAGCGGGGACCCTGCCTTTTAATGAGCGAGACTTGGCTGCCACAGAATTGACGTTTATCTGGTTATTGCTACTGAGAAACTCAGGCTTTGGGGGACCCAGCATCTCTCCTGTTGTTTTTTTCCAAAAGCCACAGTGGGGTGCTGTGGCGACAAGATCTCACCATTAACTTTTAATTTCTTTGCTTTTGTTGGTTACTTAACATTATTTAAAAGTATGTTTTGGCTGGTGAATAATGCTTTTGGACTGCATTCAGAAGGCATAAACAGCTGTAGTAAAACTCGCTCTCTTGGAAAGGAAGCCACGCGAGGGGCCAGGTGGTGCAGTGGACTCATCTAGCACCTTTTACCTCCCTGAGCCAGGGTTCAGAATCTGGGGAGGCCCCTCTGAGAGGGGGGGTGTCGGTTTGGTTTTGATTTTGAGTTCCGATCACTTGTGTGTTCAAGATCACAACTCCCCCCCCCCCCCCCAAATCATTTGGCCCAAGTCTACACAATTGGCAGTTTCTAGGCAAGGGAGGGCCAGGCCTGAAATAGCAGGGTGGAGGCGCTCGGCTCGGCTCGCGGCGAAGCCCACTGGCGGAGATGAATGGGGAAGTTACAGGCTTACAAGCACCTGCCAGCTCCAAGCCCGGACGGGGCCAGTGCAGTGATGCCCTCACTTTTTCAAGCACTAAATTTGGTAGTGACAGGAAGAAAAAAGTTTCTCGCAATTTTTTATAGGTATAGTGCATGCGAGGCTGGAACTGGCTTAAAAGGCTGCGCTCTTCCGTGGCAACCTTCAGAGCTGAGAGCGAGGTGTGGCCGCATCTGGTGAACAGCAGTTCCCTTTTGCCGAGAGCCCTCGGTGGCCCCGCTCCTGGCCTTTCTCCCACGCCGCTCTCTTCCAGGGTCGTTTTGCTCACACCCCTTCCTCTGGGGTCTCAATGTCCCCGTCTGTGAAACGGGAGTACCTTGGAGATGTGATTTTCCACATTTCGTAACTACCTAGAGAAGCATCCTGAAAATTGAAATTATGTTTGCAAAACATAGCCAATTCTCTGGGTGACCGTAATTGGGAACATGCAAAGTATTATGAGAGTGAGAAGAATTACTTGACAGATTGCCTTCTTTGACCCCCAATTAGCGGTTATGTAAGTCCGCATTGTGCTGGGTTTTTAATATTGCCTCTGAAGACAGCCACCGAGACTGGATGACGAGAATAAATAATGCGAGAATTCCCCCCAAAACGGCCTCCGGTGGCAGCCAGTTGTGAGCGTGGCCGTAATCACAGACTCTTAACCTGTGTGGACCGGCCTGACGTTTAGGGACTGACCTCATTACCTGGAGCACAGTAATGAAATGCTCCTCTGGTTATTTTATTTCTGGGGCCGACCCTCTGTACCATGAGGATATGGTTGATGAGTAGTCTGGACGTTTGACCAGGCGTTTTCCGGAGGCGTGCGGTGCAGAGCTCACTCTTGTTGCTTCTCCGTCAGGTTCATCAGCACCAGGACCGGGGAGAGACCTTCCAGTGCCAGCTATGCCCTTTCACTTCCTCACGCCACTTCAGCCTGAAACTCCACATGCGTTGCCATCAGCACTTCCTGAGGACAGAAGCCAAGGTGAAGGAGGAGATCCCAGACCCAGATGTCAAGGGATCGCCCCACCTCAGTGACAGTGCCTGCCTGGGGCAGCAAAGGGAAGGAGGAGGGACAGAGCTAGTGGGGACCATGATGACGTCCAGCACTCCAGAGAGGACTAGCCAGGGTGGGGCTGGCGTCTCGCCTTTGCTGGTGAAGGAGGAACCCAAGGAAGATAACGGCCTGCCAACCTCCTTTACTCTGAATGCTGCTGACAGGCCAGCCAACCACACAAAGCTGAAAGACCCTTCCGAGTATGTGGGCAACAGTGCGTCAGCATTGTTCAGCCAGGACATCTCTGTTAAGATGGCGTCTGATTTTCTCATGAAGCTGTCAGGTACTTGACTAGGGTTGTCTTCTCCCTCCCCCACCCCGCCCCCACCAGTGCCCTCACCTGTAACATGAACCGGGCGTCCCAGATAACTTCCGGGCCCCGGTAAATTCCTGCGCTGACGTATGTTTCCTCCATGGTTGTGTGTTTTTTAGCAGTCCTTTGGAAGTAGGTCTCGCCGTGCTTTGGGCCTGAAAACAGTAGAGACTGTGCATTTCCCTCTGGCTTTTTCCCGTCACGGGTTCCCGTGTGGGGGCAGGTCACATGCCGAGGCAGATTGGTGGCAGTTCTGTGTGGGGCTGGGCCGTGTACCTTGTCTCTGCGACGGACTTTTAAAGTGCCGGTAAGAAAACATCGGATTCGGCTTGTACTACTCAAGTTCTTCACTGTCTTGGTTCGAAAGATGTTTGAAGAACACAGAGGCCGCTATCGGGAATGACAGACTTGGCAAATTTGAGCAAGTGTTGCCATGATCTTTCAAGTTTTACTCCCAGTGGGAGATATTTTATTGTGGTCAAGTGTCCCCCACATGCGTGCTGGCCACTTCGAAGCATGGCACGTCTCTGTTGCTTTACGTCACACTGGGTTGTCACCATTGCCGTGTTCGAGCCCAGAGCTTTGCACCCCAGACCCACGCGCCCCCGCAAGTCCCGCCACCGTCCCGTCCCCTTCTCTGCCACTTTGGCCACCCCGGGCGCCTCTCGTAGAGTGGAACGGGACTTTTTAATTCTTCCCTGACAGTCTCGATGCCATTTTGAAAGACATGGAGATAAAAGTGGTCACGGCTCATCTTTGTGGCCGACATCACTGTCACCATCCAGCGATAGGTGACGTTTCTTTTAGGTTTTGTTGCTTTTCAAGGATTTCTGTGGTGAAGTTGTGGCGCTGAGCAGGGCCCTCGCACGCCATGCTGGGGTGTGTGGATGTTCCTGACCCTTCTGGGACAGAGCAGAGGGTGGTGGGGCCGCCGTGATTTTAAATTTTTAAAAGAGATGGGCGGGTGGGGAAAGGTCAGCGGAGAGTGGGCTCTAACTCGCGGTGAGCGGTGAGCGGGGCTGGCCTGAGATTATTTCCAAATGCCACCTCAGAGCTTTGGAGATTGACAATACCCTTTTAAATGGAGAATAATTGGTCACCGCCTTCTTTTAAATGGGCTCCGAGTCGCATTTCACTAAATGTCATTGCCAGGTGGATTAGAGGAGCAGCCTCTCGCTGAAGTCCCTGTGCTTGGTGACACTTCATTCGGGTCTCCTGGACTGTCCCCAGGCCCGGGTCGCGGCCCCATGGCGCTACTTGGGAACACTGAAGAAGGAGGGGGCTTGAAGTGCCTGAAATGAGTTGAGGGAAGGAGGGCAGGAAGGCCGCAGGGAGGGACACCAGGCTGGACCCCAGTGAGGCACGGGGCGCGAGCCCCTGATCTTGACATTTTTGGGAAGTGGGGGGCTCGGCCCCCCTTCCTGCTGCCCTCTTCCTCTTCCATCCAACGTAGTGGAGACTTGGAGTCTTAGATCAAAATATTCTTGAACGTGTACAGGAAATGTATGTTTTTAGTTTTTCTTTTGCTGTTGATCCTTTCAGATTTCCCCTCCCGGAACCCTGCTTCTTCCTCTGTGATATCTCCTAATGTGATAGCAAAAAGGACCCCTTTCCTGGGCTCCTGTCGCGCACTCCCAAGGGGAGAAACGCAGATGACATGTTCACTGAGCATCGCTGAGACGGGACGTGCCCAGCTTCACAGGCTGGGTGCTGCTCAGCTGGGTGGAACAGCTCTTAGGAGGCTCATCCTCGCTCTAGTCCTGCTCCCAGGATGGTATCAGATCCGGAGGTGGGTGGGAGGAGAGGCAAGACCCTTTGGGCTTTGGCTAAAACACGGTGCAGGATACACGAGTCCTCCTGGGCTCAGCCCTGGGTCCCCTTGTCAGGCTGGCATTAGCTCCAGACTCAGAAAGCAGGAGATAAGACCTTCGGCTGCTGAGAGCCAGGCTTGCAAACAGAGCCTCAGAGGCAAAGCCAGTTGGCGGGGGTGGGGCAGGGGGTGAAATCCTGCACCAGAGCTTTATAGTGTGATCTGTTTTCTCAGCTAGCTATTGACCAGGCTTGTTTACGGTTTGGCAGTCTGAGTGTTTACTGACTGATCAATGGGCATAAGAAAACAGATAACAAATGCACACTATTTATGCAAAAGGCCCATGCAGCTATTTTATGGTGGCTTACTAGAGGTCCTGAAACCTGACTTGTATGCACTGTTACCTAGCAACCTGTTATAAAGTCACCGGGGAGTGAGATGCATCGGTAATTTTTTTTGTGTGAGCATATTTGGATGTAAATGTAAACTTGGTGACTGTGGCAATGCAGCCCACGGGAAGAGAAGATATGTCAAAAGGAAAGGAATACATTTTCTGGAGGGCTTTTTTTTTCCTTTTCATTCCACTAACTCTGGTTGGTCGGGCCCCGTAATTGATGGCCGCTGTCACTGGGGTGCTGTACCTGGCTGTGTCTGTGGCTGTGATTCCAGGCCCAAAGGCCAAATCCCGGGGTGCTGCAGCTGAGCTTCTGGCCCTTCCCATTGTCAAATACAGTGACGCCTCGGTTAGCCTGGGGTCTGGCCCCTCGGTGTCATAACGGCGCCATTGTTCTCGAGACAAATTTTTGAGCTGGACTCTGTGCATGCACCTGCTGGGGCGGGAGGGTGCAGCTGTCGGTGGGCACCGAGTCTGTGCGTCTCCGTGCCAGCCACATCGCGGTCTGCAGAGCGGGAGCACAGTGGCAAATTCAAGCGTGTCCATACCTACTTGTTTCCAAAAGAGAGACGGCAAACACTTGTTTCTTTTTTGCTTGCTTATTAAGGGGAGGCTTTCTTGCTTCTTCAATTAAAACTAAACATAAAGATGACTTAGTGGGACCCAGTGGAATGAAAATCGCTGGCAGAATGCTGTTTTTAATGGACTCGAAATCTCCAACGCCCTCCCCCTCCCAGGTCACTGTGAGGCTCCCCAGTGTAAGTGAGGGTGAAAGCAAACCCCTTCTCTAAACCAGCAGGTCTCCCTCTGCCGGAACCTGCACTTAACATTCTTCAGTCCTTCAGAGTTAATACAGATCTGAGGCTGGAGTTAGGGGAGGGTTGGGGTAGTCCTGCTTTCTGGGGTGATGGAATAACCACCCTGTAAACTTTGCTCACGGTGTTGGCGGGGGTGGGGGGGGCAGGCCTCGACAGCTGCAATTGCACACATTTCACATGGGTCTTTGTTGCCAGGAGAGCCACAGAGGGTGTCCAGGCCTCAGGTACTGGAGGCCGCCTTTAGGGGAACCATGCGGCCCCCCAGAACCTCTTAAGTGGTTGTCCTTCAGTGCTGGACAGTGGTTGTCCTTTTCCAGCAGGACTCCTTACGTGGGCTGCAGAAGCCATCGTTCCATCAGTCCAGAGCCTAGATACTGGCATTTTAAAAAAATCCTTAATGATTACGGGAGCTACCAAGACAGAGGCCCTTGACCTGGAGTGGGAATTCGGTGAACCTAGGGCCTGCCCTGGTACCTCTCCTTCCTTGTTTCCTGCCCCTGAAGAGAGGCAGGCTCGGTGAAGGCCTGAGGCGTTCAACACGGGTTGTGGTGGGTATGAACCGAAGCATGAGTGAGTCATGGCGATGAGCCCCCCTTTTTTCTTGTGGGTCCTCATGACAGAGATTAAAGAAGATGCACCTTAATATTCTCCAGTTAGAACAAGAAGTTTCTCGGACTTGTCCAGAGCCCCCAGGGGCTGGGAGTGTTACCATTAGAAACTCCGTTAAAAGTTGCCTAGGGTGGCTTTTCATTTTTCTCTCTTTCTGAAAACAGCACTTTTTAAGATAGAAAATGTAATTCTAACTCTCCACACTATAAGCAAGAGTTGACAGAAACTTGGCTCCTCAGCTGTCGGCTGAGAATAGCTTTATGTCCCTGTTTTGCGAAAATAAAAGATAGAAGTCATTGCAACTATTTTTAATTTGAAAACTGGCAAAAGGAAAAAAAAAAACCCTTTATACTGTCTCCCACATTACATTAATTTCTTAAGATTAAGCCCAACATTTTAACCAGGAGAGATGGACTTTTTAAAACAGCGACTCTCCAGCCTGATGTGCTAGGAACTCGGCCACAAAACAGCCAAGGTTTTCTTGTATGAATAAAGAGCAGTGGCCCGTTATCTTCCCGTTACCCATAGGCCTTTGTTCCGCCCCTTCCACCACCTTGACGTGTCTGCCGTTCCCGTGCGGCTGGTGTCTAAATGGTACCAGCTGTGTTGTGTCCGCTGCTAAGGGGTGGGCCCGAGAGCCTCAGCTCCCAGGGGGTCCGATTTTCCGTGAATCCTCTTAACCCACGAGCCTTCCTGTGACCCTAGGCCTCCCAGGCCTACGTAACCCGGGGCATTCCCACGCTCCATGACGGTTGCGTTCCTGGAGGGCTTTTCTTCAGCAACCTGCCTTTGCATCTTCTTTTTCACCCTGCCCTGCTTCTCTGTGGCGGGCTCTCACTGGCCACGTGACGGCTGCCCTGTGGAGACTTATGTGCGGGCGACCTAAGCCCCGCACAGCCCTGGATGTTATTCAGCCTGGTGGTGATTCATCTGAGAGGCAAAGTGTGACTCTTTCCTGTCTTCAGCAACTTGCTTCTCCCTGACATGAGGACTGAGTGAGTCACGGAAGGGAGCAGGTGGCATTCCAATAGAGAGGGGCCCAGAGGTACCCACATATGTGTCGAAACGTCCTGGGCCGGAGACTTGGTGACACGTACTCATTGCTCATGACGATTCCTTCTCCACAGCCACTTCTGTAGAGCTTTCACTCCGTGCCTCTGAGTTCACAGGAAGGTCATCACGACTCCAGAGAAGGCTAGCACTAGTTGGGTGTCCCCCCTTTCGGAAAGTTTGCCTCCTGCCTCTTCTCATTTAGAAAAGACTTACATTCCGAACTGCTTTTGCTGAAAGAAAGAAATCTAAAGAGGACTGCCACTTTTCTGATAAAGTGGGAAAACCA